ATATATATATATATATATACTACTATATATATATATATATATATATATATATATATATATATATAACAACAACAACGAACACACACACACATATATAATAAAGTAATAATATACATATAATATATATATATATATATATATATATATAATATATATATATATATTAATAACCAACTATTTCAATAAATATGTATATTCATAAACATGTTTGTAGATAGCTTGGATTTATCGAGTCTATGAGTATATCGTTGTACATGAATAGATGGCAAGTATGTTCTTAGTACCATTTCGTGCAGGTCACGAGATAAATCGTGCAAGAAAACAACGAACACTTTTGGTCAGGAAGAAACTACATGGGAATTGTACGGCTTAGATAAGATAGACTCATATCATTACATTGAATGCGTTCTCTAAAGGACACTGAAAATATATCATCGTCGGTACGATGTAATCCACTCTCGTTCAGTCAGGGTGTATTCGAACGAGATGCTGCAGTACAAAAAACCACGTCTTACAATAAACAGACAATAAACAAACAAGACCTCAACAATCATCCAAAAATATGATACCGATATATATCTATTTGACTTCATGCAACATACTAATAATATGAAACCATGTTTAAATGCTACAACATTTATAAAATAGTATGACTGCACCTGCCTGGTTCTGATCGCGCAGAATGGCTTTCAGCGTGTCAACGGCCAGCATATTCTGCATTTGGCCCAATACATAGGCAGACTCGTGTTTCAGCAGTTCAGATTCGTCTTCAAACACAGCACTGATAGCTTTTACCGCCTCATCACCGCCAATTCCTTTGAGTGTAAACAGCACACGGTATCGCGTTGAGAGTGGCAGATTGGTATCCAGCAATTGCGCCCCAAGTGCAGGGATCTGTTCGTCTAACTTCATTTTCACCATAGCGTAACTTAGCTTATCCTAATAGTAGTGGTAGTGTAGTGGGAGTAGTATATATACACGTATATATATATATATATATATATATTATATTCTACAACTTATATACATATTTATATATATATAATCACAGCATATAAAATTTATATATATATACATATATTTACATGTTATATCAATCACAATATATGTATATATATATTTTTTGCCGCGAAAATACCAAAGAGGTACTTGCAATGATCATGCCAAATTGCCAAATGCCAATCGCGATCCAGCGCCGAGCGCCGAGCGGTGATTGTCAGATTGGATACACACGTGGGACATTTATTTCCAAAAACAAATATCTATTCGACATACGCAGGTATTTCTTATCTTTTCAAGTGCAATACACAAGACTCAAGAGTGATAATCACCAGTTGTACCTATTTGATATTTATAGTAACGGCAAACACTGGAAGCGATATAAATCGGCAGTCGAAACTGTAGCGTTAACTTAAACTATCGGAAGGACACAATTTTTCCGATTGAAACGAGTTACAGAGCATCGACGTACAAAACTATAACACGTCCATACAGCAGAGATGGCGAACCAAACACCAACGTCGAACAAGACAGAAACTACTACAGAGGCCCCCAAGGTGCCATCTATACCGGAGCATGTAGCACCGCCTGCAAAACCTTTGTCCGAGGAGGTAAAAGCATGGTTAGAGGAGAACTCTGGTATATACGAGTTATTACCGAATGGAAAGCTGCAGTGCCAGGTATGACTCATAGTCAGATGTACTCACTAAACTTGTGATACCTTCTATCCGAACACGTGTACATAAAATGCTGTTGTTTTTGAAGCTATAATTATGTACGGATCATGTGGCGATCAGGCGTAGTGTACCGATAATACGTATATACAATTGCTGTTGTGTTTGAAGATGTAGTTTCTTGATGTATACGACAATTTATAGACATAGCTAGCACGTAGAAAAGGAATACGCAGCGTGCTAGTGGGAGAGTGGCATACAGGTGTATATAGAACATACAAGCGTATATAAGCAAATATCAATATATTGACATTTCCGTCGGTATGCACGCTTTGCACGCTATATGCATATATACAACAGCGTCTCGCGATTTAGATATGCACTTTTTTATATTTGTTTACTTCAGTTCGTTTGCAATTTACTTAGGCTGAGCATGATGATACTAGTACGCAGGTGGTTGCATAAATATCAAACATTCTTGAAGTTATATTGATTCCTATTTTTCATACTATGCGCGAGTGTATGTGTCTATTCCGTAAATACTATTAGTCAGATACATGTACTCGATTATATGAATTCCTTACACTTGATGGTACTGCTTGTATAGCTGAGTGTATTATATATTTACTTGTGTGCCTAAGAACACTATTTTGTGTTCAATGTTCATAAATCTATATGTAGTGTTTGTTTGGTCCTCTTCTGCACATATTTACGATATCATTTTGTGTACTTGCACCCAAAAAATTCCAGGATAAAATGTATCCGCTTAGCATTCAATTATTCTACATAAATTTAACTCGACTTTTCAAGCTGCACATATACGCTGTTTAGAATCTGATATCTTCATATCGATCATATGATATCAGTGTAAAGCATCCTCTCAATGCATGACCATTCAGGGGGCTTCATAATATTATGTATCTAGAGGTGTTTATGTATTATGTAATAGTTTGTATATTGCTTCCTAGCGAAATATTGCATTTACTGAGATAATTAGTTGGACAGCCCTCTGGGTGCTTCCAGGTACCATTTTTTAAAACTTTATCACAAGAACGTTTGGATCCTATAGAGTATGCCTTAGAATCGGTGCTATTCCGACATCTATTGGTGTATCGAATTAAAGGTACAACGCGCTTACCCTAATGGTTGTGTTTCCCCCCTTTTAAAATTTACAATTGCAGTTTACCAAACATGAAATACCCGGGCGTATAGAACTACTCGAGAAGCACCTCACCTCACGCAAGTACCTACTAGCCAAGAATCGAGCTGCTGTGGTTATTCCCGACGAGTACAAAGAGATAGTAGTGAAAAACGAGAAAAAGAAGAAGGGAAACATGTTGTTCTGTATTGTTACAAAACGATCCTTCCTCTCCACACCCGAGGAATTGAGCTTGCATTTATCGGGGCGCCGGTTCAAGAATGCATACAGGAAGTACCTCGTGCAGAAAGAGATAGAAGCGAAGGAGGCCGCCGAGCTCGAGGATGCGGATGACATTTTGAAGAACGAGGACATGTTCTTGGATATGATCAAGAGTGATGCAAGTGATAGCGAGGACGATGCAGGGGGAAGCGATGATGAAGATGATGAGAATGAGGACGATGAAGATATGAAGAACAGTGACAACGAAGTAGATGGAATGTATGTAGATGAAGATGCAGCTAAGTCAGTACCAGCGGAGGTGGGAAAAGATGCAGATAAAGAGAAGTCGGAGAATCATAGGGTTGCAGCAAGTAAGGGAGCGAACAAACAGAAAATCAAAGTGCAAAAATCAGTTAATGGGAACTCGCGGAAACGAAAGGCCATGAGCAGAGGCAATAAGCGGAAAGAACATAAAAGCACTAGTACATAAATGAAATATTGAGGATTTGTACCATAGATATGAATATAAGGTGTACGTGATGAATGAAATCACGATAAGCAAGAGATAAAAAGAATATATTTACATAAAAAAAATCAAAATGCGGAAGTCTAGTAGTGCAAGAATTTTGGACAAAGGGATTCTATGAATGTGCCGAGAATCATACACATTTTAAACTTTAGAAATACAACCCAAGGTAGAGTACTCTTCGATTGTTGTATGTGTCTAGTTTTAAATTTTAAGGTATCTCAAGGATGGCCAATGTAAAAGTCGTTGCAACGTGTAATTTCACGTGTAATTTCTCTATTCTATTTATTGCTGGTACTTCAAAATGGGGCAGTCTCCGAAAACTACCAAACAAGAAGTGGGACGGACTTCTCAGCGATCCCACCGTCGATTTCTGTTCACACACCAGTGATTGCCGCCACCGTTCTTCATATCACGTATCTATATTAGCATACATTGGTAAAATACATGCCTTTTTTGAAACGGTAACGGGCCATCGGGTTCGTTCTTGCGATATATAAAATTCGGTTAGTCAGCGGTGTATGTCTGAATGTTTTGTCACATACCACCACACACCGACCGTACTGTCTTTTCTCCCCATAGACGCGCGAAGCTCTAGTCAAACTCGGCGTTGACGCTTACCATGTTCCATTACTATTCTAGTCCTGAAAATAACTAATTTATTTCTGATCCGAGGTATGAATTTCTTCATCTAAGGTTTGTGGAAAGCTGTATCGACAACATCTTGCACCAAGACAGCGGCCTTCTCAACCTCCAGCAAAGCACTCTCGACGGCAGCCACAATTTCTTGATTCTCGACTTCCTCCAACTCGGTTCGAATGGTGGCGATAGACTCGACATGCTTCTTCTCTAAGTTGAAGAAGGCGATACTGGAGCGAGGAGCAAACGACGATCTGGCGCTGACGTTTTTGCTACCCACAGACCTGCAGTGCAAAACGGTTGAATGCAAAAGTCAGAAACAGACGATTGGCTAATACTTTAACAACGGTGGAGAGTGAAAATTCAATGACACCTGTAAATAACCAAGCGAATATATTCGGGCATGAATAGATAAAAAGCATCCAACAAGGATTTGAGATCCACTTACTGTCGGGCCGATTGTCCCTCGTGTGCAAGAATAGATTCGGCGCGAGCGGCAACGGAACTACGAGCAGTTCCCGGTTGCGACTTCTTGGCCACGTGTGCCTGTTGAACAGCTAGGTCTCTGCGCATCTCTTCGATCTCAGCGACCATGCCAGACAAACTGAGTACGGAAATCATAGAGATTCAAGGCGGTGAGTACACAACGGGGATGGTTAATATATGGCCGGACATGCTATGTGCATATCTCATGGCGTACAAATAAGAAAATAGGAAAGAAATCGGCTTATGACGATCTTAACAAGCAATCACATTGACACGCTTACAACTTAACAAATCACTCACCTTCGCTTGAGCACCTCGTCTTCACCTGTGGCGGTCTCAATGACGCTGAGTGCTACATCCAGCTTACGCAGGAACACCTTGTTCTCCACCATAGCCACAGACTGTCTGGCGGCGGGATGCTCACGGTCATTGACAGTGTTGGCAGCGCGCAAGTTAACGGCCTGTCCGGAAATGGCACCGAACAAATCGTACTTATATACCACGGAGTAGCATAGGACTTTGCAGCCGTCCTGGATAAACCACCAGAAGATACAGTAAATCCACGTCCATAGAGCCCACAGTTGGTAGTCTCCCCGTGCTAGACCTGGAGTGAAAGTGGGACACCGCGTCAGTACAAGCGCTAAAGAATACACCACACTAAAACTACCAAATATTGGATAGAATTCGAGTGAATATATATCACTTACATGCATGCTAGAATTGTTTTGTTTACACGATAACTCCCCGAAGAGGTGTGAACAAGCATACCTTCAATTGGTACCTCATCCAGCTCACCCTTGGGCAATAAGCACGCGATGAGAGTGGAGATGGTTAGCGAAATACCCGCACCCATGAGAAGCATCAGACCCGGTCGCTGGGTCCAGAAGAAGCCAGGGTATGTACGAGACGAGAACAAGGTCAAGAAATCGGACACAGACACCTTTAGGTAGATCATGGTCACAATCTGACCGTAGTCCATGCCAGGTAGGCCGAAGGCGTGGAACACACCGCTAGTACTGTGTGAGTCTAGGGCGCACCATAGAAGAATAAGGGAGGATAAACATGCAACGGCACCCAGGATGATAGATACCAACCACAGGACCTTAAGATTCCACTTGTCGGGACGCTTGTTGGCGATTGAGAAATCGTATCCGATGGTGATCAGAGTGCCGTCATTGAGCACGGTAATAATCATAAGCAGCAGTACGGGCAACTGGAAGAAGAAAGGCCATTCTTCACCTGTTGTTGCGACAGGAAATGAAAATGATCATAATGTCAGAAACTAAAAAGAGTATATTGCCAGTGTTGGACAACGCAGAGTCAGAAGACAACGCACAGGCAGCAAAAATTTCGACTGTAATGTGCCAAACATAGGAGGTCACCACGGTTATCGTACTCATGACTGTACTTATGAAACAACGAGAAAGAACGGTGAACAATAGATACTTGTGCACAAGAAAAGTCACATACCGGAATCGTTGGGTACAGGTGCGTATTCCTCTGGTCGGAACGCAAAAACGGAGATGAAGAAGAAGAACAGCAGCTGCAACGTAGCGGCTATTCTGTAGTTAATAAATGCTTGGATACGCTTGAAAATTTCTCTAGCCGTGATAATAGCGTGGACCAGCACACTCAATCCCTCGCCAGTCAAAACAATGTCCGCAGCCGCACGCGCAGCGTCGGTAGCCCCAGCGACAGCAATACCAACATCAGCACGCTTAAGCGCAGGCGCATCGTTGACACCATCTCCAGTCATGCCGGTGGCAAACCCTTGCTGTCTGAAGGCCTCGACCAACGTGAACTTGTGCTCGGGGAACACCTCGGCGAAGCCATCGGCCTCCAGGATACGGTCGCCCAAGATAGCGCCGCAGTCCACTGCGGGCTTACCGTCTTCGTCCAGCTCAGGGATACCATCTGTGCCCTGGATGTTGGTTCCCATGCCCAGCATGCGGCACGTTTCCTTGGCAATCACAGCGTGATCACCGGTGATCATCTTCACATCCACACCAAGTTCCAAGGCTTTTTCAATCGTCTCCTTTGTATCAGGACGAGGAGGGTCCAAGAACGTCAGAATACCAGCCATAGTCCAAGTGTCTTGTCCCTCGGCCTCGTCAAACCCGGAATACGACACCGCCAACGAACGGATACCACGTGTACCTAACCCGTGCACAATCTCGGCCACCTGTTTCTTGATCGTCTGGTTCTCGGGGGTATCGGACAGCAAACCAGCAATGATCTGCGGCGCGCCTTTGGTTGTCTTGAACACACGGCCCTGGGAGTCCTTTAGAGTACCCTCAGTGCGCTTGATACTGGGATCGAACGGCATAAAATCAATCTGTTCGTACTCGTCCAACGGTGTCAGATCAACCGCGCCCAGCACAAGGGTATCGAGTGCATCGCGAGGAGGTTCCTTCCACTTCGCAGCCAAAGCAGCCTTCTGCAGCACGGTGTACTGGTTCTCGGCGTCGCTGAAGGTGGGGCAGTCGTCCTGGATCACCATCTTGTTGAGGGTCAGCGTGCCTGTCTTGTCACTGCACAGAATGTTCATGCCGGCCATCTCTTCGATTGCGGACAGGTTGGTGACGATCGCACCGTGCTCTGCGAGAGAGCGCGAGCCGATGGCCAAGGTGGCGGTGGTGACAATTTCAATGGCAATGGGGATAGAAGCTACCAGAAGCACCACGGCGAAACTGTGTCGTTACGAACATAAACACATTAGTTCGTGGATAGCATGAGATTGACAGGATCACATTTACCAGGAGCATGCACTATTCAAGCAAACTAAAATGGGCATCGAACAGGTCAAGCTCTGCATCACAATGGAAGGCTAACTGTTCTGTTACAAGAACATTGCCTATTGTACTACAGCCACACACACACATATACCGAGCTTTTCGACCACAAACAAGGGATAATAAATACATTATGTCCTGATCCGTATCCTGCATTTCAAGCTACCCGCCCCTCGAAGCACACTGGTAAATAACGTGTTCGAATACACATGTGCGACTAAAACACATGTCATGCAAATAGACATATATGTACACAAACACGCGATCAATATTAAAAAGAAGCTACCAACCACACTCACAGACATACCTGATAGACTGCTTGAAGTCCTCGCCATTTGCCAGCAAGAAAATCATAGCGGAGATGCACAGTGTGATAGAAAGTGTCACCAACACCATCATGATTCTCAACAGAATCCGTTGTAGGTTACCCATCTCATTACCCTGATTCAACATAGCGGCGGTCTTTCCGAAGAATGTGTTCATACCAGTGGCAATCACAGTGGCCTCCACCTCACCACGTGTGGCGGTGGATCCCATTTTTGGCTCATCTCCAGCGTTCATTGTCACGGGCAATGACTCGCCTGTACGATGGTGTTTGTGTTTAGGAATAGAGAGATGAGCGCACGTGAAAGCAAGCGATAAAGAGACCCCGCGGCCACAGAGGGAGGGTCGTACACGAGTACGTAATCAGAGCGTGTCGGTCTGTCATGCGCACTTTGTACTGTACATACACACGTCCGAATCACAAACTGACACCGTTTATCCGCACCAAGAATGGAATCTGCTAGTAAGTAGATTCCAAAGTCACGACTTGCACTGTTCACGAAGGTACATTATGAAGTATGATTTTCAATATGATTTTCAGTATAGAACAGATCTATGTACAAATGTGTGTACGCATCTCTAGCGACCCCGGACACTACCATAAACACAACCAGGGTATATACAAACAGCTGCATTATATTATGTTTGAACTAAGCATCAGCACCTTCATGCCAGTATCTTAAATACGCATGCACATACTGGGTACTTACATATATTTATATATACATATACACGGGCCATTGTATTCGAACGTATGAAAGGGTTTGCTTGGTAAGCCATGTACGTACCGGTCAACGCAGACTGATCAACCTCTAGCCGACCCTCGTTGATACGACAATCGGCTGGAATGGCAGAACCGGCACCAAGAAGACACAGGTCTCCAGGCACACATTCCGCGGCATCGATGTTCTGCCACTTGTCGTCTCTTTTCACTGTCGCTGAAGGCTTGAGTGACGCCTACAACGAGTTTCAATTTGAATAAAAACATACAGGTGAGTACCCCAGCTATACAGCTAGATTTTGGCCAGTTGCATTCCGCACCAAGACAACGACAGAGTTTTTCAGACACTTCTAAAGCACATCAAGAAGCGGATTCAGCTCTAAGTACAAATATGAACGGGTACATTGTATGCGTGTTTATATATTTGTATAAATACTACATTTCATAGACAAGATATAGTTCTAGACTCAAGTAAGTTTTGGTATATACTAGACCATGACAATACCTTCAAAGCAGCAACAGCATCTCCAGCCTTTGTAATCTCGTACCACCCAATAGTAGCATTAATGAACTGAATAGCCAGCAATACGGCCATGTCCAACCAATTCTGAATAGCGGCCTCGATTACGATGGCGATCCAGATCATGATGGGCATGGGCTGATACAATTGTTGCAGGAAGACCTGTGGCAAAAATAGTAATTTGATTAGAGCTCTATACGTGTACAGTGGAATCGAATGTAGATATCGAAATGCTGCCATGGTAAGTCCAAAGAATTATGGGATGAGCTTGATGACCGCAGCTATACAATATAGAAAGTGCTACATCTTTATGATACGTCGTGCATTTACCCAGGACTATTTTGGTGGCCACGGATCATAAATTTACGCGTGTGTAAACAAGTGCAACCAGGTATACTGATATAGGTTTGGCAAACACTCTCTACTTGGTCAAAGCCGAGCGATTGTGGATAACAATAGTCAAAACTAGATCAAAATTCAATTCAATTGGAACAATACAATCCCCCACTTTGTGTAATTTGAGCAGGCCAAGGCGATTCTTAGTGTAAACGCGGTCTGAAGCATGGTTTGAGCAGGCAACTTGATCGGAGTCTGATAGCCGCAGTCTTCACGATTGCAAGTAAGGGTACTATGTACCAGTGATATTGGGGAAAATAGCTACTTCAGGGACATAATATGGTATATCGGAGACAGACGTGCTTTGGTTTTCCGATAGCAACACTTATTTTTAACTTAACCCTTGAGAGGTGAACCACGATCAACGGTTTCAAAGTACGAGAACAACATGACGAACCAACTTAAGCAACAGAAGTGTTTTTATAATAGACTACAGCGATTCCCGAAGCACCGTTATCGACACAATCGTCGGTTATTCTACTACAGCTCAATATAAGTGTAATATAACTTGAACTGCTACAGCGCAAAAAAAGTATGATACGCTAACTACCAGCTGCGGCCTAGCACACACTTACTAAACACGTGAAAACTGACAGAGTAAAACTCACGCAGAATCAACAACTGACCTTGGATGAGATGGAATAACAAAGAAACAACATACCATCCATTTTGGGACGGTTTTCTCTTGTAGTTCATTGCGTCCAAATTGTGCTAGCAATGCTTGGGCTTCTGTCGTAGTCAGGCCATGCGACTCGACGTCCACGGAGATCTCATTTCCGACCTCTCCCTTCACCAATCTTGAATCCTTGTCTCCACCCATTGTTAGGTATGGACGAGGCTATATATGAATGTACGGTTCTAAAGTGTACCTATGTGGGAAGTTATCTACGTTATAAGTGACGTAGAGTAGCGTAATCACACCTCAATAAATACAAAAATAGTCAAGTGCGGTGGATATCAGAATCAAATCCTACAATTCTGAACTATATAGTTGTTGCTATTAGAGTATACAGAATACTAAAATACACGCAAAAAAATATAGTCGTTCTTGATCATTTTCGCTCACTCACACAGTCACAGTCACAGTCACAATGTCTGCCGGCTTGCTGCTGGACTAACGATAACAAATTTCAGATTTCTCAGTCTCTCTCTTCTCTCTTGAGTGTACTGTGTAGAGAGGGCGGCGACACAGAGAGTACTGTTAGTGATGTCACAGGGAAAACCAAGAAAAATTATATATGTGTTACATATTTTATTGCTTACTTTTTAGTTTTTAGCCAATAAAAGTCGAAAATATTTCTGGAAATCTAGAACATTTTGATTGGTGGGTGATCACAAAAAAAAATAATCAGCTGTATTTCCGAAATCACATGATACGCGGATAATACAGAGAAAGGTGGTACCACAAGTGGCAATACAAAGAGGACTCAGGACTGTTTGTAATTTTTTATTTTTTTTGATAACAAGTGCAGGGCCGCCCGGCTGTCAGGCCTGTTTTGGTTTTTTAACGCTCGACGCCCGCCCGGCGGGCAGGGACTGCTTTATTTATATTTATAAAATATGTACATATTGTACATATGTACTTTAGAGAATTTGAATCACATCATTTTTCATATTTTTGCAATTTGTAAAATAAATAAATATTAAAACTTAAAAAAAAAAATGCGCCTTCCGCGATGAGGTCATAAACTCATAACTCATGAGGATCTGCATATGAAATCGGAAATCCAGGCTATCCAGCTCAATGATGGGTTCGGATAAAACACGGTTGGGGCGCAGCGGGGCCTGACAGCGTCCAATCAAAGAGGGTAGTTGATAACTTTTGAATATATCCGCGCACGAGCGGTGAGATAATTTCTTGAGGAACCCACCCCACCCCCCTTTCTTCCCCACTTTCCCACTTTCACTCAAAGTCAACAGTCAACAGTTACACAGTCACACACACAAATACGCACTGTTGCTCCAATCACACACGATCAAACATAAACACACTCCCACACAAGCTCACTCACTCCACCCACTCACGTAATCATTCAACAAAAATCAAAGTATGCTACATATATATATATATATATATATAAAATAAATCCATTTAGGATCCCTAAGGGGGCGCAGGAGGGACCCCATCGGGGTCTGCAAATAGGCCAAAGAACGTGACCTAGCCAGCCAATCAAATGGCTTAATTAGCGTTACGTGTCAGAAAAAATCGAGCAAAAGGTGACAGGGACTTCCAGCTTACGCTTTCAGTGATAAACTCGGTTTTAATGAACTTGAAACAGCAAAGACAATGCCGAGAGTTTAAAAGCCCGGTAAAAACGCGCAATTTCCAAATGGATTTCTCGCAGTATGTAAATATTTTGTAGAATGTACTTGGCATTTACACATTTTAATAAATATATACACAAAGTATTCTTGCCAAGCCTTATAAAATACGAGCAATTGAACGCGCGCTTCAGGTGCATAAGTGCTATAGTGTGATACAATGGACAGCGCTAGCGGTATGTGACACACCAGTTGTAAGTAGTGCAAGGATCTATCGAGGCAATGGTGCAAGTCGAGAGTCTGGAATTTCGCATCATAGCACACACACGCACTCGTATATGTATATACAGACGCACACGTACACACTCGAACATACAAACACACACACACACATACTTAAGATACACAAACGCATACATCCACGCATACTTAGATACACCCATCCACCCACCCGCACCCACACCCACACCCGCACCCAAACCCACACCCACCCACACACACTCACTCTCACACACACACACCACACACACGCACACACGCACACACACACCTACAAACACACAAGCACACACACACACACACA